CTGAAGGGTGAAGTGAAGGAATATCACCACCAAGCATTGTAATGTCGTCTAAAAAACCATAATCATCCAACATCCCTATGTTGGGGTTTTTCGAGGAAGAATTAGGGAAGAAAAGGAAAGATAGGGAAAAATAGGTTCAAAAGAATTAGGGATCGGCCAGGAGAAAGGGAGAAATATAATTATCCTTTTGCGGCATTTACATGATAAAATACCACTAATGCACATGATTTTGTGACATTTTTATAACAAATGCCACTATTGTACAAGTCTATAGAGGCATTTTTCTAAAAATGCCAGTAATGCATGCGTTTATAGCATCGTTTTTAATAAAACGCCAGTACAGTACGAGATTTTAGCGGCGTATTCACAAAAATGCCACTATATATCTAGCTATCACGGTGTTTTTTACATAAACACCACTAAAGTACACATTTTTAGTGGTGTTTTCCTAAAAACATCACTATATATTTGGATATCGCAGCATTTGTCCAAAAACGCCGTTATATGTAAAAAAAAATTTTATATAAACGCCGCTACAACCGCCGCTAAAAACCAATTTTGCTATAGTGGTTAAGGCATGGAAGTGCCTTACCGTACGATGGGCTCCTAATATTCTTACAATTGCATTTAAAAGATTTCAAGTCTTACCCTACATCCTCGATGCTTGTTTAATTTGTTTGACTTGACAGTGGATGCTTGGTCTCTTTTTCTTTTACCAGTAAATTAGTTAATTGAAGCTTTGTTGCTTTATTGATGTCTGGATTTTCTATTCCAGAGTGGCCGGTTTGAAGAACTCAACAAAGAGTTAAGCTTTCCTGAGACATTAGATCTTACCCCATACATGAGTGAAGATGGAGATGATACCAATCTTTACAAACTTTATGTAATAGTTTTCCATGTGTACATGTTGAATTCATCATTTTTTGGTCATTATATCTGCTATACCAAAGATTTCGCTAGAAACTGGTATAGAATTGATGACTGTAAGGTAATCTCTCTCTCTCTCTCTCTCTCTCTCTCCCTCTCTCTTTCTCTCTCTCTCTCCCTCTCTCTCCCTCCCTCTCTCTCCCTCTCTCTCTCTCCCTCTCTCTCTCTCTCCCTCTCCCTCTCCTTGTTCCTCTTCCCACCGGAATGGGACCAAGGCCAAGGCGCGTTACGGTGGGATTAAAGTCCCTGGTTTTCCCGGTACACTGTGTGCATGTAGAGATGAAAACAATGGCAACCCCAGTTTGCATAAAACCATTATTCTCTTATGTGAAAAGATAGTCTCGTCGATGAGATTTCTTTGATAATCCCAGTTTACATAAAGCCATAAACTCGCCCATGGAAGCTAAACAGTGATGATGGTTATGATGAGCTGAAGCTAAAGGCCAACGACCGTGAGAGGCAAGGCTGAGATCTAGAGAGAGAGAGTAGGCGGCTACAGTACAGATGATGGGGTGGTGGGAAAGTTGGTTTTAACTTTGGAACCGCAGAGTGATCGGGCGGCGGCGTAAGCTAATGCAACTTCTTCCAGTGTGTCAAATGTACACAACTAAACTTGCGTTTTCTTCCGTGGGTCGTGTATTTCAGCGGCATACTTTCCCCATGGCCTCTTCCCCACTCCCTTGTAGTTTCCTTTTCTTGAAGATGCCATGGGAGGGAAACAAAGAAAGAATAAAGCTTTTGGCGATGGAGTTGTTAAACAAAGGAGATGTGAGAAGCTAGAAACATAGTACTAAACTGTGGTCGCAACGCAGCGTAACGTCTGCGTTGTAATGTTTTTTAAGGTTATTGCGATGTAATATCAGTGCAACGTGACAAGGGAACCGCATCACGATTGTTACGGTAAAAAATCGTTATGTGACACTGCAACAAGTTATAAATTGTGTCGCAACGCCGCAACAAACTTTAAATTATCTAAAATATAAAATTACATAGTTGAATTGTTCTAATTTAATTCTTAAAACTGGATTATAAATATATATCATTAATAATATCGTAATAGTTATGTTTAAAATTAGTTACTTAAATTTGAATTAATTAAATTATTTGTTAACGTTATTTTAAAATTAAATTAATATAAATTTAAATTAAATTTTTCTCATATCTATAATTGAAGTGATTAATTTTAAATTAAATTTAATGTTTAAACTATTAATTCATTTATTTTTAGTTGTTGCTATATCGAGACAAAATGGATTCTTTTGGAACACCATTAGCTCAAGCTACAATTTTGAAGACTAACCCTAGTAAACAAAAAGAAATTATCCTCTATAGTTTTGTATATAATAAAGATATTTGTATAAATACTTTATGAATTATATCTTAATATTTATGTTTTTTATAGCTGAATGGTGGATTAATTATGAAATTGTGCACCGCAACTTCAACGCATCGTTGTCAAAGTTTTGAGTCAAACAACTTCATCTTCAAATTGTGAACGTAATTAGAGTACTTTAAGTTTGATCCATACAAAGAAGAGAAATAGACTCAAGAATAAAAAGCTTCAAAATTTGGTTTATGTCCATTATAGCATGAGGTTGAAGCTGAGACACATGCAAAGAGAAAGTGTACAAAAATTAGAAATGGGTTTTAATCTGATTAATCTTGAAAATAGTTTTGAAGAAGATGACCTACTAAATGAATGGATTGAAGAAAGAGAGAATGCTACACTTGATAGTGAACAAAATTTCTCATAGTTTCCTGATGAGTTACTTAATGAAACTGATGAAGAAACTCAAGGTTAAGATATGAACAATTCACCTACTTCATCTAATGAGGAAAACGTTCAACTATCGACGTCAAGTTATGACGATGATGATGGTAGTTGTGATGATCATAGTGGTGATAATGAAGGTATGTACCAACCAAAATATAGACACATGTATTCTACTGCTTTTCATGGAGATCAAGGTACGCCCATATATCCTTACGATGATAATTTAGGTTTGTATAGAACAAATGTATCACAAAATAGAAGAGATGATGATGATGATAAAACTCATAGGAGGATGGGAGAACACTTTTATGATTCATTTGCAAGTTCATCATCATATAATTCAGCTACAAATGATAATGAAATTAGTGAATCATCTCATGATTCTCACTCTTACCAACCAAACTCAAGTTATCCACCTTACCTTGAACAAAATCCAATTTATGGATTTTTTTTATCATCATTTATCATACAACATGTTTTCTACCAATGATGCATCTTATGATGCACATAATGTGATGTCTTCTTCACATGGAATAGAAAGGTATCAAAACCAATACAATAACGAAGATGGAAATGCTTTAGATCCTCCGCGCCATTCATTTTGGTGGTGAACTGTAAGATATAGAATTTTTATATTTGTAGTTATGTATTTTTTTTCTTTCTAAGTTATGTAAAATGAACATTTTTATGTTACAATAAAAAAATTGATATGATTTTAGTAATATTGTTTATATGTTATTCATTAACATTATAATTGTTAATACTCATTATCCAGTATGATTGCACTTCTATGGTTTATATTTGTTTTTAATAAATTTTTATCTATGAAATTAAATTTTTATTTTCAAAATAAAATATTAAAAGAGTATGTTAATATTAGTATATTAAAAGATAACTGTAAAATGTATAAATATAATATTTTAGACGTATTGTGATTTTTTAGGAAGAGATCATGCTCGCGACAACCGCAACACGTTACGTAACGTCCGCAACATCCGCAACCGCGACACTACAACCGTATCCGCAACAAAATCCGCAACCGCAATTTGATATTATGACTAGAAAGACTTGTGTGCGAAACTAAACTTTTATTGGATAGAAGACGCACGAGTGATTGTGGTGGTGGTGGTTAAGAAGAAGAAGAAGACCCGTGAGTAATTATGTTAGAAAGAAGAAGGGTGAATAAAATGTAAACTCTTTTTAGATTATGGTGGTGAAAAAGAATAAAGAAAGAAGAAGACTATGAGTTACATGTGTATTTTTTTTTTTAATTATCAACTCAAATATCTCTAATAAGTTTAAGAAAATTAATGATCGAGAAATTAAATCAAACAGATGTAAGAATTAAATATAAATAACTAAAAATCAATGACCAAAATTGATTTGATAAAAAATAAAAAGTAACTTTAAAGCTCTCACAGATGCAATTAGGACCACAAAACAAACCACAAAAGCTGAACAGCACCCACGTTCAAGCGGCGGAAAAGTATTCTGAACAGCACCCACGTTCAAGAGGCGGAAAAGTATTCTCTGCATTCTGCAATAAAGGACCAACAAAGGTCTAATGATGGGGCCCACGTGTTACCTTATAATAATAATGGTAAATTACGTATTTAATACCTAAATGATTAGTTTTGATCTATTTTAGTATATAAACTTTCATTTTTTAAAATCATGCCTAAAGTTTAGTTTTTATTTTATTTTAGTACTCCACCATTAAAAATTTTAATTTTTATTTCATTTAAGTATCCCGTTTAAAATTTAACTTTAAGTTTTTAAAAATTTAAGTACTAAATTATAAAGGGCTAAAACTGATACTTTATATATTAAACAAGTTAAATTTTTAATAACGAGATACTAAAATGAAATAAAACTAAACGTTAAGCTTAACTTTTAAAAAAAATAAAAATTTAATACTAAAACGGATCAAAACTTATATTTTATGTACTAAATATGTAATTTACCAGAATTAATCAAAGCCTTTCAAATATTCCGAATTTCTCGGATCAATCTCGATTCTCTTGAATCCCTTTTTATTGATCTGTAAGGGCTCACTTTACACACGATATTATGTCACTAATTAAATTAATCGAACCATCAATTCTAATTGAGCCATACAGTCTAAACAGATCTAACAATATGTTCTTTTTTCTTAGATAAATTGAAAAGTTTGAAAAATTAATCTGTAATCCAATTATTCTTTTTCCCTGAAACTGAGTTAATTGACAGTAATCCGAGTCGTTAAATTTTTTATTTTAGAATCTACTATTCTCTGGATTTAATTTTAAATTTGATATAATTCAGTTTCTAATAATATTAATATTATAGCTATTACAAATATTCCGGCACACAATCTTAGAGATGTTAACAGTCGGTAAAGATATGATACAAATTGCTGGCCAAATTACAAATATCCATATTCATGGAGGGATCGAATCATGTTTGACGCTGCAGAGTTTTCTGCTTCTTTTACTCTGGATTTTTCCTCCCCTTCGATGCATAAAATTCCACCTTTGGTCGGAATTTTAACTGCATATACAAATTTCTTCTCATGCGAGGGACCTTCATCTTTCGCAAGCCTGAGAGTTGAAGCAATGAAAGGGGTAAAGGATTAGAAGCTTTATGAAACGGAAAACACATTCAACAACAGAGAATATTTTAATCAATGCGGAAAAAAAGAACACGAGTATCAAGCAGTAGGTGAATTTGGAACCCTGAATTGTCTGTCAAAATTGTAGAGTGATAATCACAGTACAAGATAGGCAAAACATCAAATGAACATATGCATCAAACTCATCTGAACTTGGAACCAGAGTTGTCCTCCAAAATTGCATCATAATGATAACAATTCAAGATAACATAGACAAAACATGAAATGAACAGATGTATCAAGAACCATATTTGAACTTGGAATCCAAATTTGTCCAACAAAATTGCATCCTGACAATAATAATACAACATTTTTTATTCTAAGGCAAAACATTGAATGAACATATGCATCGAGAACAGTATCTGATCTTGGAACCTGGGCATGTCCTTCAAAATTGCATCCTGATGATCACATTACAAGACATTTAACATAAGCAAAACATGGAACAAACATATATATATATATATACAACCTGGCATCGTCCTTCAAATTTGCATCAAGACACTAGCAATACAGTTATACAGGGTAACAGGATTGTCCTCTAATTAACAAAGTGATAAATATTTTCATGCGGGGATTTGGGTATGATACAGATATTCATAAGGGGCCAAATCACAGATGGCATGATTATACTGAAGAAATGGGAATGCAACCAATTTCTCCATTGTGATTAGTATTGCTTATGGCATGAAGTCCTATATGGTCATCAACGGTCAAAGACGACTCCAACATGGAACATTGATTTCCTTCTAAAGATCAAGTTGCAATATCAGAAATGGTTAGTCAAACATAAATCTTTATCACATGGACTTATCTTCCTAAATGTAGATCATTATAGGTGATGAACAAGTGCAAACTGCAGACTATAGCAGATAGTGGATACTTAAGTGGCAATATGCAAGAGATAGTGCATCTTTATACTTAAAACCACATCTCATAGGTTTACAAGAAAGTATAAAAGCCTTACTCATAGATAGGCTTGGACCATTTTTTCTTTGTGCAGAGCTCGTGCAACTTCTGTTTTGCTCCTCCAATCTCAAAAGACCCATCAATTCCAAATAAATCAACATCAACAGCCATGGACTTTGATAACTTGAGCAAAGCTCCCTTTACCGCATTAAGCTTCGCAATATCCTTTTGATATGAGGAATCCGATGAAATGAACTTTCCATCGACATATACTGTAGCTACGGTTTTTTCCCCATCTCTCGAATGTCTTATGTCAACTTGCTTTCGTTTCTTTTGACATATCTCAAACAATAATGTCACGGGTTGAGGCTGTTGCTGCAAATCTTCCAAGGTAACTATAGGCTCCAATAGACCTCTAAAGATCTGCAATATATACCACAACTATTCCTTTAACACCAACCTCTCAGACACTAACAAAATATGGCTTTTAATAAATACAAGCATTGAAGAATTATAATTTAAAAAAAATGGTAAACAACTTTAGAACATACCTTCCAAAGTGTTACCAGATTGAATTCGACATCAACATAAATGGCAGCTGCCACGGATTCTACAATATCAGCTAAAACCTTGGGAGCTTTCATTGATCCACCGTGAGCCACTGGACCATCTTCTTCACTAACAAGCATGGTAAATTCGTTAACCTATAATAACATTATAAAACAAATAATCAAAACACAAGATAATCAGCAACAAAATTTAAATAATTTCTAACAACATGCTTGGTCCAACTTCAAAACCGTCAAAAAGACAATGAACGAAGAAATCACCTTTTGCTCAAGGCCAACAGCATTGTGTCGAACGAACTGAAAAAGACGGTGTTTAACAGCGACACGGGCTAGTTTTTCCGTGCTTATATTAGCTGATCTGATCAACGAAAGAAGGCCAGGATCAAGTTTGGGGTAAGCCAGAAAAACGTAATTAGTAAAAGCCAGGCCCAGAGCTGCATCACCGACAAACTCAAGACGCTCGTATGAAAAGGAATCCAAGTACGAAGAATGTGTCAAAGCATCCTCTAAAAGACTCTTATCCTGAAAACGGTAATTGAGGATCCTCTCGACGGCGTCTATAGAAGCTTTCATGTTGGAAGTGGGCGAATCGGAAGAGGAAGCGTTTCCGGAAGAGAGTGTCGGAGAGGAGAAGTATTTGGAAGCGGCTGCGGTGCAGGTGATGTTGTTGAAGAGGATTGGCGGGCAGTGGAAGTCAACGAAGGTTTCGGATTTATGAGTTATTATGCGGTAGAAGGAGACTGGAAGGGTACGGTCACATTTGAAGTCTCGGATAAGCAACGGAGGCCGGAGACGAACACCACGGCTACAGGAAACCGTAGTGATGCGAGAGAAATGAACAGAGACAAGAGAGAGGGTGATGAATACCAAATGTGGCTAGGGTTTGTGAAAAAGAGATTCTTTTAAACAAATAAAAAAGTAAAAGAAATTTTAGTCTCATTATTTGATTAAGGATGAAAATGAAAAAAAACACATCTTAGTAATTTTATGAAAAGGATAAAAAAAAATTCTTTACATTTAGAAAAATACTTTTACTTCTTTAGAGATTTTTTTCTTTTTTATTTATTAAGAAAAAATAAAAAAAAATAAAATATTAAATGTTATTTATATTCATTTATTTAACTTAATAACAATGATTATACGGACGATTTGTAAATAATTTATCAAACATATTTTTATGGATGCAACGTGCATCAATGCGCAAAAAATCCCTGAAACCTAGGCTTACGGCGCACGCAGACACACACCTTTCACATGTGAGTCATACATTTTATGCTAAAAGATTTATAAATCAATTCTAGATAATATCTATACCCATTACCCACCAGTTCACTCATGAATCACTTGAATTTTTTCCCATACTCTATCTCTTTACCATTGCTTGTCCCATCCTCAAGAGTTGAGAGTTATTTCGACAATTCACAAGACATTGCTGGTATACATCTAGATTTATGCATTAAGCAACCTTAATATATCAATCCTCAAGCCCTGAATTTATGCAGTATATCAATCCTATATTTATGCAAAATTACTCTTTTTGTGTAATCTATACAACTTAGATTAATACCTTAACTCTAATCATTTTATGCAGTTTTACACCAATCGATCTACTCGTTTTGTTTGCTAATATACACCTAGATTCATGCATTATACAACTTAAATTAATGCCTTAATCCCATCCATTAATGCGGCTCGTGTATTCACACTTCACTGGATTCATGCACTATACAGTCTAGATTAAAGCCTTAACTCCAGTCATTAACGTGGCTCATTCGTTCACACTTCACTGTTGAATTCATGCATTATACAACAAAGAATGTGTGTAACCAAAGCCTTAAATCATGCTATTAATGTGGCCAGTGTATTCACACACCATTGCTACTTAATAGATCTATCTGTTTATACTGCTTCAATTCTTCTTTCTTCTCCTTCCACTATATTGTCTTCCTTTACTTTGTTTCTTTGACTTTCTTTGATGTATAAACCAGTTTCAAATTGCGGACCGAAAATGCGATAGCGGCCGTGATATTGCAGTAGAGTCGCCGTCCGAAATCGGTTTTCATGATTTTTGCGGTGGGTAACGGATTCACACCAATAGCAGTATGTCGCGCCCGCAATTTAACAGGTAACGGTGAATTGCGTCGATCACAGGACGCTATAAGCATTATTTCAATCATAATTTTTTCTTTGTTTCAAAAAATGAAAGGTCGCCGGAGGAGGAAGGGGGAGTTGAGAGTGAAAGCATAATTTTCTTTCGGATAATGAAATCGGGGGGGGGGGGAGGAGGAAGGGAGGGGAGAGTTGAGATTAAAAGTAGAACAATCGGGGGGAAGGAGGAGAGATTGATTTATTTCTTTTATTTTTTAAAATAATTTTAAAAATATATTAATTTTACATCTCTCACACTTTTAGAATTTATAATTTAATCTCTAGTTTAAAATGTAAACTTTAATTTTTATTTAATTTATTCTTAATTTCATTAATATAAATTTCTGAAATTTAAATTTTAAAATTTTATTTTAATTATATTTAATTTAGTTATTTTAGGGTAAATTGTGCGACATTTAAAAAAAATTTACGACCGTGATACCCTCAATGACAACCGTTATGTCGTCTAAAGCCCATAGGCGCACGCCTCACAGTGCTTCAAGTAAAACACCTTATTCTGGTCAAGGCTGAAGTTTTCTTCATCGCATCTTTGCGTCTCGCGCTTTGGTTCCTTTAGGACACACTTTTGAAAAACCAGTCAAATATTATGCTCATTTATCCCCTATTTGGACATATAACAATTTTTGGGTTGGAATATTTGAAGTTTAAGATGAAGTTCGATACTAGTTAAATTAGATATTTTTGAGTTGACTCGGATAAAAAACTTCTCCCTTTATTTTTTTAAAATATCAATTTTAAAACTTATCAAGTGCACTACAATGAGCATCTACAGCATCTATTAAACATTTAATTTTTAGACTAGTCTCATTTTTAAAAGTATTTTTTCTCTGCCTTTTGTTCAAGTGTTGGTTCTCTTTAATTTTAATATGATACATTATTTACAGAAAGTGTATAGATATTTATTAATAAAAAATATTTAAATTTAGTTATAAAATATATAAATATCAATTAAAAGGCTATAGGATACACTTAAAGATCAATATTAGAAAATTACATAGATTTGGTAAATTTTGTCAATAAGCGATACATAAGATCATAGATTGGAATTGGATAATGCTCATCAAATAATCATTTTATCTTTTATATTTTAAAACATTTTGACTCTCAATATTTTATTTAAATATTTTATTTAAAGTAAAAACTTCTTTTTTTAAAGCGTTAATTGCTTGTTAACAAATAATTTCTATTCAAATAAGATATCTTTTTGTCTCAAAATAAAATATTAAAGATTAAAATATCTTAAAAATAAGAATTCAAATTATTATTTAATAAAATATTAAGAGATTTTTTGAAATATTGGTTAAACAATTATTGTAAAAATTGTGTGCTGCTTTTTTAATACTACAACGAATACCATGACTGAACGATGTAATTGTAATCAGCAATTTTTTAACGTATATTTATTTTTTATTTTTAATTACAAAAAATAAATAAAAATAAAATAAAATACAAAAAAAGTAACATGATCCCTTAATATAAGTGATCCCTTAATAAAATAAAATAAAATATAATGCCCCGGTTGCTGCCAGCCTGCCACACCCTGTCCCAAGGCATGCCCGCTCTCAGTGCTCCACTACCTCTCCACGCCAGCAACCAAAGACACGAGCAAGGTCTAGGATATAAAATCAGATAATCATTCAAGTTTTAACATATCTTCTTAGATCGGGTAAAATAAGATACATATTAAGTCAGGTAAATTTATATTTCAACTTAGATTAGGTCGGGTTCATATCAAATCAGGTCAGGTTATTTTCAGGTTGATTTGACACCAAGTACAATTAATGTTTAGGTCGGGTTATTTTCAGTTCGAATCGATGTCAGTTCATGTCAAAATAGTTCAGGTCCAGAGCAGATAAATACCAGGTTAATTCAAGTTCATATAGACTTTAGGCTGATCTTGTTCAGATCGGATGACATTATTGGCAGATAAAATTCAGGTCAGATCTTTATTAGATACGGATTGAGTTCAAATCAGGTCAATTTTTATTTTTGGATAAATTATTTTCGTCTTTCGCGAACGTTGAATTGCAATTTGTAATTGTAAATGATTTATAGTAAATTACTACGAATATAAATAATCATGGATCAATTTTATGAAAAATATAAAATTAAGGACTAAATTGAACAAATATGAAATTAAAAGTAAAAATTTAAATAAATTAAAAAATACGCATTAATGAGGGACCAAATCAAAATAATTTTAAAATGTGAGGTTTAAATTAATATAAAAAGTACTAAATTATACCTATTTAAAAAGTTATGGGCCAATTAAAAAATATAAATAAGTAATAAGTATGGGTCAATTTCAGATGCAAAAATAATTTTAAGGACTAAATTGAATAAATATAAAATTACAAATAAAATTTAAATAAATTAAACAACACAAAGGGATCAAATCAAAATAACTGTAAAATGTGAATATAATCTATAAAATGAACTAAATTACATTCATTTCAAAAGTTAAAAAAATTGTATAATATATATACACTATATATGAACTACATATATTATGTATAACTATATAATATATATATATAAAGTGTATAATTTATATTTATATTATTATATACTATATATATATTATGTATAAACTATATAGTTTATTAATATGAACTATATAGTGTATATATAAGAATACCTGTCCAGCTCAGTTGGTAGAGCGCAAGGCTCTTAATCTTGTGGTCGTGGGATCGTGTCCCACGGTAGACAATTCATAATTCTGACTGCCGAAGGTCTCTCACGGAAGCTGCTCTTAACCTGGCGTTTGGGACAACCTACTATCCTACCTCCCTTTTACCCCATTACATATGGGAATAGGGTCAGCTAATTTATTTATATAGTGTATATATAAAGTATATATATTATATATATAAACTATATAGTTTATATTTATATTATTATATACTATATATAAACTATATATATTATGTATAAACTATATAATTTATTAATATATACTATATATAAACTATATATATATATTATGTATAAACTATTCATACCATGTATAAACTATAGAGTTTATATATGAACTATTGAATTATATATAAACTCTATAGTTTATTAATATAAATTATATAGTTTATATATAAATTATATATGAATTATATTTAAATATATACAACTTATATTTATTTATTATGTATAATTATAAATTATATATACTATGTATAAATTATATATTTTATTAATATAAACTATATATAAGCTATAAATTATATATACTATGTATAAAATATATAGTTTAAATATAAAGTATATAAGTATATATATAAACTATAAATTATATATATACATATACATATATAATAATATAAAGTATAAGTATATTATATATATATATAAAGTATAATTATAAAGACTAACGTATATAAGTATATAATATAAAGTATATACATATAAGTATAAGTATGTATATATATATATATATATACTTTATATTTAATACTTATATATTTTATATTATATACTTATATACTTTATATTATATGCTTATATATTTTAGTCTTTATAATTATACTTTACATATATATAATATACTTATACTTTATATTATTACATATGTATATATACTTTAAACTAAAACTTTATATATTATATATATATATATATATATATATATATATATATATATATATATATATATATATATATATATATATATATATATATTAAATATAAAGTATATAAGTATATAGTACATAAGT